AGAAGAGCTTAAATTTATGTACTTTTTAACTACTAACTACAGATTTTCTTGTCCTGAGTCTTTAAATAGGATCTCTTATCCATAACTGAGATGAGAAAAGTCTACCAACAGTAGACTCTTATCAAAGACTACCAACAGTAGGTCAGCTTCATCAAAGCAGTGAGGTCCTAAAATAAAGAAACCAATTTCTGTGAAGCCTTTCTCAAAATAAACTCCTGAATGGGATTAGTGCCCAGATAAAAGAGGCTTGGGGCAGCCCTTTTGTCCCTTCCACCATGTGAGGATGCAGCTAGAAGGCACCATCTATGACGCAGAGAACAGCCTTCACCAGACACTGAATCTGCTGGCACCTTGATCTTGAATTTTCCAGCCCCCAGAACTATAAGCAATAAATTTCGATTCTTTATGAATTACCTAAAGTATTTTGTTATAGCAGCCCAAATTGACCGATACAGTGCTCACAGCATTCCCAGAAAATGGGGACACTCATAAGAAGTTTTATTTGGCAAAATCAGAAGTGTGTTCCCCCATAAGATGATTACAGAGAAAAGGGGAGACACAGAATGCAGTGAGGGTGCACAGGCATTCTGAAAGCAACATGGATTAACCTTGAAAACATGCTTAGTGAAAGAAGTCAGACATAAAGTCCACTTATCGAGTGATTCCAGATATGAAATGTTCAGAGTAGTGAAATCTAAGTAGACAGAAAGAGATCAGTGGTTGCTTTGGGGTAAGAGGTAGAAACAAGAAGGTTTGGGGAATTGGGAAGTGATAGGTAAAGGGTATAGGGTTTCTTTCTGAAGTCATAGCCATGTTCTAAAATTGACTACAGTGATGGCTGTGCAACCCTGTAAATACACTAAAAACTACTGAATTGTATGTTTGCAACAGGTGAATTATATCGTATGTCAACTATATCCCAGTAAAGTGGTTTAATAATCCTCGAGGAGAATCGCCTTCCACTTATAATAAAAGTTGTCACTGTGCCCGATAAGACCCTGCACGATCTGTCTCCTGACAACTTCTGTCTTTTCTCCAACATTCTCTAAACTCCAGCCACACAGGCTGTCTGCCAGGCCTGGAGGGATCCTAGCTCTTTTCTGCCCCAGAGCTCTTACACCTGGATCCCTTGGCCTCAAAGGCTCCTTCTCCACTCCAAGCACATTACTGCCCCTCAGAGGCACCTTCGCCACTTGACCTGAAGTGGCTGGGCCTTACCATCTCCTTGGGCCCTCACTATCACAACACCCTGTTGTATTTGCTCCACAGTACTCAGCAATATCTGAAGTTATTTTATGTACCATCTCCTTCTAGACAAAATAACTTCATGAGGGCAGTGACTGTGTCCACATTGTATGCCCAGCACCTCAAACAGTGCCTGGTAGCCAAGTAGGTACCCAAGAAACATTGGTTAATGAATAAATGAAGGTCATTTACAATACCCTGACCTAGGTGGTTCAGGGATTTTTTAAATAAGAGAAGAGATACACAATGTGCCGAGGAGAAAATCCTCCATTAGATGAATAATTGGACCGAGGAGAGTTAGACAGGCTTCTCTTCTTTAAAATCTCAATTACATGAAATGTAAGTTAAGATAGAAAAAAGGATGGCAGCATAATATGTTCTTGTGAGCTGTCACTGAACCACAGATGTCACGTGCTGGTGGTTCTAAGGGTCCCACACACTTTGGCTGATGGGTGCTGATGACAATCAGATGGGCCAGCATCACTTGGAAAGGGATATTAATATTAAAAAGTGCCCATCAAGAAGTTAACAAATTTATTGAGAGTTTGTTTATACTTATCACATTTGTTTTGGGTTTTCTGTTTTGGAGACATTAATAAATTTCATTAAAACCATCATTGCTAAAAAATTAGATGTATTTATTTTCCTGGGGATATAAGAGGCCACCTGCATGCAAAAGGCTGCAAGCAAGCTCAGGAAAAGACCTCAGAGTGTCCTAACCTCTCACCTCACACCATACACAAAAATTAAATTCTAAGAGCTTCATAGTTTTAGGTCCATGATCCATTTGGAGTTAATTTGTATGTATGGTGTGAGGGAAGCGCCCAACTTCATCCTTTTGTATGTGGATATCCAGTTGCTCCAACACCATTTATCAAAGAGACTATCTTTCCTCTTTGAATGGTCTTGGCACCTTTGTCAAAAATCAACTGACCATAGATATAAAGGTTTCTAGACTCTTGATTCTATTCCATTGATCTCTAGGTTTGTCTTTATGCCAGTATCACAACTCTTGATAATTGTAGGTTTGTAATAAGTGCTAACATTGGGAAGTATGAGCCCCCACCTTTTTGTTCTTTTTCAAGATTGTTTTGGCTATTCTGGGTCCCTTGAATTTCAATATGAATTTTAGGATCACCTTGTCCATTTCTGCGAAAATTCCAGCTGGGATTTGGGCAGGAACTATGTTGAGTCAGTCACTCCATTGAGGCAGGTATGCACTTCTCAGGTATGCCTGACTCTCACACCAGAGGACCAGCCACAATCAGTCCTTCCAATCAAGTCAGTCAAAGAACAGCAATAAGGCTAATGCTTACCAAGCCACTCACCTTGTTCCAAGTACTGTGCTGAGCACTTCACATGGGTCATCTCAATCTAATCCTTATAATGACCCTAGGAGGTAGAGTTTACTATTATCCTCATGTAACAGGTGAGGAAACTAAGGTACAGAGAAGTCAGGTGGCTCATCCAATGTGACAGCTAGTATGTGGTAGAGGCATGGTTCAGACCCAGGAGGTCTGACTTCAAAGCCCCTTTTCTCCACCCAGAATATACACAAAGATCTTACAAGCCCATTAAAAAAAGGCAAACAACCCAGCAGAAAAATGGGGAAATAATGTGAACAGGTAATTTACCAAAGAAGAAAATGCAAATGGCCAATAAATATATGAAACGATGCTTCATCTTACTATAAGCAGGGGAATGTATAATAAGCAACAAGATATTATTTTATCTGTCATATTGGTAAAATATTTTTGATTGGTAAAATCTAGGGTTGGTATGGGTCTAGGAAAACAGATACTATTATCAAAATATCAGTGGAAGTACATAATGACACATCCACTTTGGAAAATGATTTGGCAGAATTTATTAAAATATAAAACACCCTTTTGCCTTGCCATTCCATTTGAACTTGGGCACAAAGGATATGGACAAACATGTCCACTGTAGCCCTATTTGTCATTGCATAAAAAGGAAACGAACCATGTGACTGCCAGGAAGAAAATGACAATAGTGGCCATGGCCAAATCCATATCACATTGGAATGCTAGTTCCATGAAGCACAGGTTTGTGTCTGATGTGTTCATGGCTGTATCCTCAATGCCTAAAATAGTAACTGACACACAGCTGGCACTCTGATGTCTGCTGAATGCACACTGTGGTATACTATGCAACAGTTAAAAAGAATAAGGTATATATGTGTGTATATGTGTGCATGCGTGTCTACGTGTATGTACACACACATGCATATATAGTATACATTTATATATATTAATATAAATTTCCTTATTTGGAAAAAGGATCTTTGCAGATGTAATTAAGGATCTCAAGATGGTATCACCTTGGATTATCCAGGTGGGACTTAAACCCAGTAAGTATCCTTGCAAGAAAGAGAAGACAGACACAGAAATGGAAATACCATGTGATGATGGAAACAGAGATTGAAGTGATGCGGCCACAAGCCAAGGAACACCTGAAGCCACCAGAAGCTGGAAAAGGCAAGAAAGGATTCTTCCCAAAAGGCTTCAGAGAAAGTGGCCTTGCCAACACCTTGACTTAGAACTTCCAGTCTCCAGAACTATGACAGAATAAAGTTCTGTTGTTTTAAGCCATCCAGACTGTGGTACATTGTTAAGGCAGCTGGAACAAACTATTATAGATATATTCTCCCAGGTCTTCAATACACATTAAAGGAAAAATCAAGTTGTGAAATAATACATATATGACTGCACATGAAATAACACATGACTACACATATAATCATGCATATATTATTTCACAACTTGCTTTGTGAAAAAGTCACAGACATATTTAAAACAAAATGCCCCCAAGCAATCTCTGTCTATAGATGTACATAATAGCATAGAAAATTAATTGGTATCAGCATACCCCAAACTGACTGAAGTAGTTCCCTCTTGGGAGGGGAGAGGGAATTAGTAGAATGGAGAGAGGCCAAGGGAGGCCTCAGCTTTGGAAGCATTCAAGCATTTTTTTTTAAATGGTTTAAATGTTTTTCAAAAAAGCTAAAAGGAAAATTGATAAAGCTTAGCATTTGAGAAACTCCACACATAGACCTCATTTTAAGAAAAGCCATTATAAAAAACAGTCTAAAAGGAGAAAGAAATTCCTTATTAACTTCTAAGTGTCTTTTTTGAGCTGAGAAAGACAGTCCTTGGAGGCCACTGCTGGGATGTCACACCAGTAGGGGCTATGAGTTGAGCTGGAGAAAATAATATATCAGCTATTACACATTGTTAGGTATTCTCAAAGAACTTTAAACATTCAGATTGTCTTTTAAATAATATAACTTATGATGTAACTATATTTCACCTAATCAAGTAAAATACAGACTACCTATTGTTTTTCTTGAGTCTGTATTCTGAATGGGTGGCACATATCAATCACTATTGTTTGTTTTTTTAATTTATTTTTTAATTTCAGAATATTACAGGGGTACAAATAATTTGGTTACATATATTGCCTTTGCACCACCCAAGTCAGAGCTATAAGCATGCCTAAACCCCAGACATCGTGTACCACACCCATTAGGTATGAATTTACCCATCCCTTTTCTCCCCTCTCCACCTGCCCAACACTCAATGAATGTTACTACTTTGTGCACATAAATGTTGATCAATTAGCACCAATTTATGGTGAGTACATGTGGTACTTGTTTTTCCATTCTTGGGATACTTCACTTAGTAGAATGGGCTACTATCACTTATTTTTAATAGTTTATTTGATTTACTACTCACGCTTTACTGAGGAAGTCTCTATAAATGTATCCTCCAGAATAAGATCATCAAAGTCTCCAGATCCTAAAAATTAAAAAAAAAAAGATTTTAAAATTTAACTATCTTTTCATGAAACAAAATAATATTGAAATTATCTCTTAAAATGATCATTTCCCTTTTGAAGGAATAGAAAAATATATTCCACACAAATGGAAATCAAAAGAAAGCATAGGTAGATATGCTTATATTAGACAAAATAGACTTTAAGGTAAAAACTGTAAAAAGAGAAAAGAAGATCACTATATCATGATGAAGGTCTCAATTCATAAAGAAGTTATAACAATTACATATGCACCTAACATTGAAGCACCTAAATATATAAAGCAAATATTAATAGATATGGAGAGATAGACTGTAATATAATTACAGTAGGAGACTTCAATACCCCACTTTCAACATTGGACAGATCTAGACAGAAAATCAATAAGGAAACAAGGGATTTTAACTATGCTTTAGACCAAATGGACATATTAATAATAGATATTTAAAGAACAATCCATCCAACAGCAACAAGATACATATTCTTCTCAAATGTACATAAAACATTCTCCAAGATAGATCATGCTAGGCCACAAAAACGTCTTAAATTTAAGAAGATTGAAATTATACTGAGAATCTTTTCTGACTACAATGACATGGAACTAGATATCAACAATAGGAAAAATCTCGGAAAACTCGCAAATGTGTAAAAATTAAACAATATGCTCCTAAACAAGCAATAGGTCGAAGAACAAATTGAAAGGGAAATTAAAAAGCATCTTAAAGCCCATCAATCCATGAGTGGATTAATAAAATGTGGTATATGTATACTATGGAGTACCATTCAGCTCTAAGAAACAATGGTGATATAGCACCTCTTGTATTTTCCTGGATAGAGCTGGAACCCATACTGCTAAGTGAAGTATCCCAAGAATGGAAAAACAAGCACCACATGTACTCACCAGCAAATTGGTATTAACTAATCAGCACCTAAGTGGACATACCAGTAACAAGGAGATGGAATCAGTAATAAAAAGTTCCCCAGGCCGGGCGCGGTGGCTCACGCCTGTAATCCTAGCTCTTGGGAGGCCGAGGCGGGCGGATTGCTCAAGGTCAGGAGTTCAAAACCAGCCTGAGCAAGAGCGAGACCCCGTCTCTACTATAAATAGAAAGAAATTAATTGGCCAACTGATATATATATAAAAAATTAGCGCCGGGCATGGTGGCTCATGCCTGTAGTCCCAGCTACTCGGGAGGCTGAGGCAGAAGGATCGCTCGAGCCTAGGAGTTTGAGGTTGCTGTGAGCTAGGCTGACGCCACGGCACTCACTCTAGCCTGGACAAAAAAGTGAGACTCTGTCTCAAAAAAAAAAAAATAAAAAAATAAAAAAAGTTCCCCAAAGAAAAGCCCATGACCTGATGGCTTCACTGCTGAATTCTACCAAACATTTAAAGAACTAATACCAATCCTTCTCAAACTCTCCCAAAAAGTTAAAGAGGAGGGAATACTTCCAAACTAATTTTATGAGGCCAGCATTACCCTCATACCAGAGCTGGACAAGGACACTATAAGAAAACTACAGTCCAATATCTCTGATGAACACAGATGCAAAAATCCTCAACAAAATACTAGCAGACAAATTCAGTAGCACATTAGAAAGATCATTCACCATGATCAAGTAGGATTTATCCCAGGGATGCAAGACTGGTTCAACATATGTAAATCAATAAAAGTGATATATCATACTAACAAAATGAAAAACAAAAACCACATAATCATCTCAAGAGTTGCAGGAAAAGCATTTAAGATAATTGAACATTCATTCATGCTAAAAATCCTCAAAAAATAGATACAGAAGGACTGTACCTCAACATAATAAAGGCTAAATATGACAAGCCCACAGCTAACATCATACTCAATAACAAAAAGTTAAATGCTTTTCATCTAACACCAGCAACAAGACAAGGATACCCACTCTCACCACTTCTATTCAACAGAGTACTGGAAGTCCTAGCAAAGTAATTAGGCTAGAAAAAGAAAAAAAAAGGCTTCCTTATAGGAGAAGAAATGAAATTATATTTGCTGATGACATGATCTTATGCACAGAAACCCAAAAGACTTCCATCAAAAAACTGTTAGAATTATTTTTAAAAATTCTGTAAAGTTGCAGGTTACAAAATCAACATACAAAAATCAGCAGTGTTTCTATGCACTAACAATGAACTATCTGAAAATTAAAACAATCCCATTTACAATAGCATCAAAAAATAAAATAATTGGAAGTAAATTTAACGATGGATGTGAAAGACTTGTACATTGAAAACCATAAAACATTGATGAAAGTAATTGAAAACACACATAAATGGAAAGATATTCCATGTTCATGTACTGGAAAAATATTGTTAAAATGTCCATATGATGCCCAAAGTGATCTACAAAATCAGTGCAATTCCTATAAAAATTACAATGTCATGTTTTACAGAAATAGAAAAAACATTCCTAAAATTTGTACAGAACTAGAAAAGACCCTGAATATCCAAGAAAATCTTGAACAAAATAGACAAAAGCTGGAGGCAGCACACTCCTTGATTTCAAAATACAAAGCTATTATAATCAAAACAGAATTGTACAGGCATAAAAACAGACACATCAACCAATGTAACAGGCTAGAAAGCTCAAAAGTAAACCTAAACATTTACAGTTAACTGATCTTCAACAAAGATGCCAGGAACACACATTGGGGAAAGGATGGTATCTTCAATAAATGGTGTTGGTAAAACTGGATATCCACATATGGAAGAATGAAAATTGGACCCTTATCTGACACCATATACAAAAATCAACTCAAAATGGATTAAAGACTTAAATATAAGACCTGAAACTATAAAGCTACTAGAAAAAATGAGGAAAGAGCTCCACAACATTGGTCTGGACAATGATTTCTTGGATAGGTCTCCAAAACCACAGACAACAAAAGTAAAAGTAGATGAATGGGGTTACATCAGACCAAAACATTTCTGCACAGCAAAGGAAACAACAGAGTAGGAGACAACTCACGGATTAGGAGAAAATATCTGCAAACCATACATGTGAAAACAAAGAGGTCAATATCCAAAATACACAAGGAACTCAAACAACTCAATAGCAATAAAACAAATTACCTGATTAAAAAATGGGCAACGGGGCTTCTCAAAAGAGATATAAATGGGAATAAATATATTAAAAGATGCTTGATATCTCTTATCAGGGAAATGCAAATTAAAACCAAAATGTGATATCATCTCATACCTGTTAGAATGGCTATTATTAAAAAAAAAGATTGGTGAGGATGTGGAGAAAAGGGAACCTTTTTACACCATCAGGGGGCATGTAAATTAGTACAGCCATTATGGAAAATAGTATGGAGGATTCTCAAAAAAACTAAAAACAGAATTACCCTATGATCCAGCAATCTCACTTCTGGGTATATATCCGAAGGAATTGAAATTGGTATGTCAGGTATTTAGAACATGACATACAAACTCACAGAACACCTTCTCCATAGGATGACTTCTACAAGAGGGTATGGCAGAGCCTGTAGCTCCACTGATGATTGGCTTAAGTTCTCTTACCCCACCCCAAGTCTCACAAAGGCTACTCTGCATTTTAAATCTCCCCAACCCCCAGCACCCCCATTTAGACTACCAACTCTGACTAATCATGTATAACTGAAAAGGCTCTGGGGAAAAGCTTTTCACAAAAGAATCAGTCCTCAGAGTGAACCCATCTGTCCAACCCTGTGTCCTACTGAACTTGACAGCTACTGTTCCCTCTAGATGGGCACATAGTTTGGCATGCAGGTGTATGGCTTATCAATTCTCAAGCAAATCACTACTAGTGCATACTGGAATTGATCAAATAAGTAAATAGGCAGTGGATAATGGGAGCCAGGTTTCTCACTGTCAGAGAGAGGAAAGTTACAGATAAAAGGGACAGGCTAGAATGATCCATGTGATAATGGATTAGAGTTGGGGACCTTAGTATGAATCATGTTTAGCTTTGTATATACAGTCATGAGTTGCTTAATGATGGAGATATGTTTTGAGAAATCCATTGTTAGGCAATTTTGTCATTGTGCAAACATCATAGAGTGTACTTATGCAAGCCTAGATGGTATAGCCTACTATACACCTAGTCTGTATGGTATAGCCTGTTGCTCCTAGGCTACAAATCTGTACAGCATGTTACTGTACTGAATACTGAGGCAACTGTAATGCAATGGTAATTATTTGTGTATTTAAATGTATCTAAACTTAGAAAAAATGTAGAGTAAAAATATGGTATTATAATCTTATGGGACCACCATTGTATATGTGGTCTGTCATTGACTGAAACATCATTATGGAGGGTATAACTGTCGATAGGTACATATAGAAATATTTATAGACATGGGTTAGTACACCAATATATATTTCCTTGCTCCATCAACTGAGAGAACCTGGAAACAACAACACCCCAGTGGTCTGAAATACCACTCTCCAATAAAAAGAATCAGGACTCCTTGGAGAAATGGCCGATTTTAGGACTAGGGCAGGAAATATATAAGGTGAGCCTGAAGCATCTCATAGTGTTTTCTAAAAATCATAGTACTTTCTAAAATTCATATTGATGGGTATATGTTAAAGGGACACAGGAACCAACTGAAAGAATTCCCAATGGCTACGGCTGGAACAACTTGAACAAATAATGTAGTATCAGATTATAACTCAAAGTATAAAATATCCATGAGTCCATGCTGATATAAAGAAATGATTGACTAAATACAGAAAACAGAGAAAACCGACAAATCTCCCATGCAGAAGAATTAAAATTTATGTAGATATTTCTCCCTCAAGGAGGTGAAGCATAACTCCCCACTCTCTAAGTGATGGCTGTGAATAGTGACTTCCTTCCAAAGATTACAGTATTGGGGGTGAGGAGGAAAAATGTTACAGAGGAGGAACCTGACAAACACAACCTCAGCCAGGTGACCAAGGTCAACATCAAGGATGAGTCATGTTGATAGT